CTGCTCTCCTCCCGCAGGCGCGTAGGCAGCCCACGCGGCGGGCTGCAGCCCTGGGATGACATCCACGGGCCCGTGCAGCTCTGAGCGTTACAGCGCGAACTTGATGCGTACCTACTGTTTTAAAAGTGTCCTTTCATAGCGAGCTTTTCTATGCTATTTCTTAGTAGAATGAGACGCTTCCTTATAGGTATGCAGCGGTTAATTTGCTGCTTTTTTACTTTTTTAGCATGCTTAACAAGTTAATTCCAGATAAATGTAGATACTGGGTGTTGAAAAAAAAATAGAAAGTATCGAATGTTAATGTACTCGTGTTGTGGTCTAACAATTGCCTTAGAGCAGTTGTGTATAACACTGAAAATGACAAAGGCTGTTCTGCTCTCATTGACACATCAAAAGTTGAATAAGTCTCTCAGTTGTCTCTTTTTTGTGATGCCTAACAGTGGATCATGTGGTCAGTGTGGCTGCCTGGAGAGAAACACGTTTCACTTATGCTAGACATTTTATTACAAGCGTTTCAGATAGGGGAGGACTGTTAATTCTGACATCATGAAAATTCTCACACAAATGCCGGAGCTTAATTAAAGTTACATAGGGGCTAATGCCTGGCTGAATTTGGCTTGTAAAGTTAAGTTTTTTTAATTGAAGACATTTTTGGAGGTACTTTGGGGGAGGTTCTTTTTCCTACAATGTTTAGTTGAACTCTGAAACTCATTGCCCCAGAATATCAAAAATACCAAAAATCTACGTAGGTTCAAAGAGTGTTTAGACAAATTCATGACGGAAAACACATCAAAGATTTTTAAACACACAGGTACTGTAAGTGGGTCAGATGTTCAAGGTTGCTAGGCATGAGCTGTTGGAAGCTTAGGGAGTATACCAAGGAAATATCACAATGAGCTTTCCCTGCTCCAAACTCTTCAGCTTCTACTATTCACCTCTGTCAAAGGAGGGGTAATTGGCTAGACCTTGATCTGCTCTGGTATGTTCTTAGAGTGTTCAGTAAATATTAGATCTTCATCGGAAGCGGAGAGGGAGGAGAAACAGGGTAAGCCATTATTTTGTCGGCAAGAAGTAGTGGCAGCATAGACAACAGATGCACTGTGTCATCTGATATCTCTTTATCATGTCCTGTCTCCTACTCCCCCTAAAATATGTCCTTCCGCTCCCCAGAAGATTTACTATTCCAGTGATTTGGTTAAGAGTGCTTTGTAGGAACCTACCGTAAAAATTTAAGTCCAAATAGATTGATCTAAATTCTTCATCGACAACTAAGAACGGAAATTAAATGAATACATGTTATCTGTTTGTGGTGAATTTGTAAACAAAAAGAATAAGATGCAATATAGAGTGTCTATAGAGAATACTTCCACTTTGTCTAAGTAAGTCTCTCTGCTGCTTAGAAATTTCGTTTCTCCCCTCTGTTGCTCTTCCTCATATGCGTTCATGTAAGGAAGAGCTTATGTTATATGCAGCCCAGGAATAAATGGAATTTCGTACGTGTAGTCTCCTGAGAATCATACATGAATTCTAGGATACTTCATGAGATGGAACTGCAAATGCAGCCCAGCTAGTGCAGTTGGCCTTAAGCCCCCTTGAGACACTTATTGTAGAGCGGAAAGAAAGCAGCAGTAGATGGCAAAATGCTAGAGAAGACTCTTTACACATTAGGCTGTTCTCTCTTATACGATACAAAACTAAAAACCAACCACTATGGAAAAGCCCCCTGGAGAAGGGTTGTCTGGCAAGGCAGGAAACGAGATGTTTGAATTTGCAAACCAAAGAACAAAAGAGTCAGGAAGAAATTACAATGAGAAATTTCTGCATATGGGTGAAGCCAATGGTTTGTTTGAGGTCTGTGCTATTCTCCGCCAAAGTCAAGAGAAAGACTCATGTTGACTGTAGGAGGACTGGAGTCGGGTGCATCATCCAGTACCTCAAAATGTCAAGGAATTTGTATAAAAGGCACCTAAATGTGAAATATCCTATCCTTTGTTGAAGTTTCTTTTGACCTTTTATGAGCTTATGCAGGAGCAGTTTCACTTGTGCCTGCTGGGTGCCAAGGCACTGTCAGCCCACAGCAGCCCAGTTTTAACTGTTTTGGTTAAAACAACTACTGTAATCTCCTTACTTGTGTAGAGATAACTGAAGCATCAGTAAGGGCACACCAAGACCCTTTAGCAAGAGCTATCAACAATTAACCAAAAGGCAAAAGTAATCAGGAATACTGTTTCTATCCATAACTTGCCAGGAGGTCCTAGCTGTTCTTGGATAGCAACTAGGAAGACAAATACCCTCATTTTCAGCTTTGAGTACCACAGTCACTCTATATAGGCCTGCGTTAAAAAAAAAAAAAAAACCTAGAAAGCTAAGCTAAGGTAAAATGTCCAGCTCTGTACTCCTTTTTATTTAATGGTTCTTTGATGTTAAACCCTTTCAGCTCATTTCCAAGTGAATTCAAGTAGCTGATTTTAACTTGCTTTTTTTTTTTTGTTATTTTAAGTGAGTGACTGATCAGGTAGTTGAAGTGCGTGATCTTCCCTTTATAAATTGAAGTATTATGACAACCCTCTCCTCAGCTTTGACAAAGCCTGAATGTGTTAACTTTTGCAAAGTACACCAATCAACCTTGTGTTTTAGAAGAGTACAGGGCACTTGGGTTATGCGGGAATTTTTTGGTAGGATGTCTTTATTTTACTTGATATAACGTCGATTTAAATTTATCCTTCAGTATGTTCTTTTACTATGCATAAGCCTAGACCTTTTGCTAGTTGTTCACTTTGATAGGTAAAATAAACCAAAATGAATGTGTATTCTCTAATTTGGTACTATATTATGTTTCAGGTGAGTAGCCCTTTCAGTGTTAATATAGGACACATTAAATGAGACAAACTGTCCTGGCTCAGGAAGGCTAGGTATTAAAACTACCCATCCTTCTTGCTAAATATGTATACATTTGTGGAAGATATTTAATGTATTTGCTTACTAGAGGCCTCAAGTTTTGCCATTTACTCTGAGACTTGTCCTTTCTTCAGCTGGGTTAGTAATGTAACTCCCCTGAGCCATGTTAAATTACATAAACAGTTTTTTTTTTTCTGCAGATGCGTGCAGTTTGTACGCTTGTATTCCACAGAACTAACTTGAAAGCGGATCTACAGGTTTGCTACAAATTTTATATTTTGAATTTGTAGCCTTAACAGGAAAGAAAAGATAAACACGGCTTTTTCACAGACCTGAAAACCCCATTTGGGTAGAGGAAAACCCTCCCGTTGCTCTTTATCAAGATTTTCTGGCACAAAATGATATTCCCCGTGGTCCTGACTAATCATGGGAACAGGCAGAAAGGTAACCAGGATGATTATGCCTAGAAACCTGTGTGCTTTTTGTTGACCTTTTAGGAAAATGTACATGCTTCTTAGCAGAATCCTTCTCTGATAGGCTTGTTTTCAGCTCTATTTCTTCTATTTAAAACCTGGAACCCTAACAGTTGTTGCTATCCTTCATGTATTTTCTTGGGGATGTTACTATTACAGAATTAATAGATTTTATATTCACTATTATGTCACAACCGGTGTGACCACTTGGTACGTTTTGCATTATGCAGCAATCAGTAATTTTTAATTAACTTTTGGGATAATAGAACCAGACTCCTGTCACAGATATTTCATGAGGATGAGTAACTGAAATATTCTGAGACGTTCATGCTACAGCGGGGCCATTCTGGCTATTACCTACAATTCAGGAACGCTTGTTTTATTCCTGTCTATTAACATTCATACAAGCGAGACAATTTATTCATTTTCATGGGCTGCGAGGTCGGGAGTAGCTAGGAGAACGGTGGAGAACAGGAAGGAGTCTACAGCCGGATTCTTTGCAGGCCCTCGTACACAACGTTTGTACCGCGTCCAGTGCTTCGTGAAGCGCAGGATCTTCTACCGTGATCTGTTTAGCGGCTGGGCCTCTTGCCTGCAATATTAGAACTTGCTGCCCTTGCCGTTTGATCAGCGTTCACCCTCTCCAGGTGTGCACCTTTCTGTCAGCTAAGGGTCCGCGGTAGCTGTCGGCAGCGCGCGCGCCCTCCCTCAGGCCTGGCGTGCCCTGCCGCTACCCGATGTCGGTTTAGTTCCGGGTAGAAAGGGCCTGCAGTTCAAAGCTGAACGCGTCTGTGTAAGCATTTATACTGTCTTCATGCCCGTGGTGGTTTGCATCATCGAATCTGCCGTGACCTGCAGAGGTGACAAAACCGGAGCCTCGCAAGGCAGTTATCCCTAGCTAACGGCTTCTGTCTGCGCCGCCAGATACGATCCGGACGGCTTTTGGCGTTTCGTTGCGCTGCGGCCCAGAGCCGCAGCCCTCT